GAGCCATGTGCGTGTAGGGGAGGAGCTTATGGAATTTCTGTCGCACCCACAGCTTGGGGCTGTGCATCAGCTCGTTGGGGAAGCACGCAAATCCAGCGGGCACCGTCACCGGCATCCTGGAAACAGCGCATCGCCGGTTACATCGGCAGTCCCATTCCAGCGCCGATGCTACTTTGATCGTGCGGATCCATGCATGTGGCGCATGCAACAGACACGCGATTTTTTTCTTTTTGTCAGACCAGCATCCTGGAAACAGCGCATCGCCGGTTACATCGGCGGTCGCATTCCAGACGAGAACAGCGCCGATGCTACTTGGATCGTGCGGATCCATGCATGTGGCGCACGGAACAGACACGCGATTGTTTTTCTTTTTGTCAGACCGCTTCATCTTTGTAATACGACGATATACAAATGTATTTGTACCGATAAAGGCCGCCCCACCCGCAACTGACCAAATAAGCGGCCGTCGTGAAGAACTCACGTGGTGTGGGGAGAGTCGAGGCGGGAAAAATTCTCCTTGTAAAACCTCATTGAGGGAATGATGCAGCCGGACGTCCAGTAGATCATCACGTTGGTCAGCAGGTCGTCCAGAGAGAATTTCCTTGGAGACACGCGAGCACAGACGCGCGTCACCGCCTGTGGTTTTGTCAAGGCCGCACGGCGACTTCAGATTTGCTCATCTCCGCGATAGGAATCCAGCACACTAAAGTGCCTCTCTTGAGCCCGACAGGAATTATTACGAAGAAATACAATACAGCGGTGGTGTCCAAGCTACGGCAACGGGGCCCATTTGCGGCCAAAAATGACCTTTGACGTGGGCCGCAAGGTTAGTTACAAAAGGTGAAGGCGGGCAGAGGGAGGCTGTCAGAAACCTTGAACCGAAAGAGGATGAAATTGACGAGACCATACAAACGATATCGAATTGCTTTCTCGACTGACGTTGGCGTGTTTCAAAATGTTGACAATTTTAAGAGCGGCCCTTTCACCCATCCATTTTTCTGTCGCTACCTGGTGAGTCCTCCGTCCTCCAGGTTCCTAAAGTCTTGACTGGTCCACGTGGAAAACTTCTCCAGAATGTACGCAGCCAAACCAACTGGTGAATCATTCAGCGCTCGACCTGAAGGGAAAAATAAATGAATAAATAAGACCACAAGTCGACAAACAGAAATAACAGAGCCATAACGACCAGTCAGCCTGGTCTTGGTTCTCACCCGCAGTGTCGGGTTTGGTTGCCTGGATGTGCATGTAGCCGGTCTCCTTGATGGACTCCACAAACATTTTTTGCATACACGGGTAGAGACGCTCCAGGTCCACGCTGGTGAAGCCGAACAGCTTGGGGAAGTGGCGGCCGAGCAGGACCGATAAAGTGATGACCAGACCAGGTTTGGAAGGCGGAGCAAAATTCACATGCAAGGCTTTGACGATCCTGAAGAAAATGAAGAATGCGAGATTATTTGCGCCATGCTTGGGGGGTTCTCCAGATACTTTGGCTTCCTTTGCATGGCGCTTCAAAGAAAAAAAAAAAGTATTGGGTGAACTGATTCTAAATTGTGAGCTGTGACAAGAAAACAAAAAAAAGACAAATCAGCAGAACTTCCTGCATTTTAGTCTGTTGATTTCCCATGGGACGCCAAACGAGCTGCTGATTAAATGACAACAGTGACCCCTAGCGGAAAGGATGATGCGTTGCATACAAATACCTTGGCAGTCGTCATTGCGTAGTTCCGGTTGAGGAAACAAGAAACGAGGAAAAATAACATTCACGCTCATGTCCACTTACCCCGTTGTTATGCCTAAAGCATTTTTTACTCCTCCAATATTTATTCACACGTCGACATTTTTTTCCCCGATTAAAAACTCCAGAGTGGACAATAACCGGCAGGTCGGGGAGCGGGCTGGTCTTACTTGGGTTCCAATTGAGCCATGTTGGTGGTGACAAGCCAACCCCAGTCTCCTCCGTGAGCGTAGAACTGCTGAAAGCCCAGGCGTCTCATCAGTTTGTGGAAGATGCGAGCAGCACACACGGAATTAAAACCTGTTCAAATACAGCACACGGATTGAGGACTCGTTCAACGAAAACCAGATCAAACGATTGAACTCGGCTGTCTGGTCTTCATAAAGAATGACAGACACGTTGCTGCCTTGGCGTTCAAGGCCAGCGGGGCGGTCGTCGTGCGGATTCACCTTTCTTATGCGGTGCTTCCGAGTAGCCATAGCCGGGTATGGATGGGCACACCACCTCGAACACGAGACCCTGGGGGTCGGACGGCTCTGTTAGCAGTGGGATCGTCCCGTAAAATTCATAGAAGGAGCCAGGCCAGCCATGAACCATCAGGAGAGGAAGGGAATTGGTCCCCTCGGGCACCCGTTTGGGTTTCACGTGCACGTAGTGAACATCAATGCCTGGATGGGAATTGCGGGGGGGGCAGAAGTCAAGACAACAGGCCAATAAGATAAGTAAACGTGAGTCAACGACGGCAACAAACCTTCAATGTTGGTTTTAAAGTGAGGATACTGGTTAAGTTTGTCCACTTGTTTCCTCCAGTCAAAGTCATTCCTCCAGTAAGAGACGACCTTCTCCAGGTACTCCGAGTTAAAACCATAATTGAACTGACTGTCCTCCAGGGAGGGAACCGGGCGCGTCTGGTCTATTCTTCTGTGAAGGTCCTGAATGAAAATAACAGGAGGACACGTTTCAAAAAATCCATTTTGTGAGCGCAGACAGACAAAACCGCAACGCTCTCATGATTGTGATGATGACGTTTGATGGGGCGGATGACCTCCAGCTCCGCATCGCTGGTGGTCACTTTAAAAGGGTGGATGGTAGTGTCCCGCTCGCCATCAGGGATGGGGCCAACCCCCCACCAGCCATCCTCTGTCTTCAAAACATGGCTTCGTCTTCTAAACACCAGCAGGAAGATGACGACTCCAAGCAGGAGAGCGATCAGGACCTCGAACAACATGTTTCCTGAGCGGGGGCAGGAGGAAAAAGACAAAGTGCGGATGAGAAAAGCTGTACTACTGTACTTTCAAATGAAGTCAGTGCCCGCTTTGGCCACCTGGGGGCAGTACAGTATTACAGTATACAGTCATGCAGACAAAAAGGAAGACTATATGTTAAACCGTTAAAAAAGCATAACAAAAAAGGATAACTGGTATTGTATGAACAAGAGCTTCCTACTAAAAAAAGATACAGCTACAAAGATCGTAGAGTTCCATTTTGATTGATACTGCAGAAGTTTTCATCATGATATACAGTACTACATATTTCAATAACAATATGTTGATGGTTGCGGTTGTTGTTTTGGTATCGTAGTATCATACTGAAGACTGGCTCTAGTATTCTCAAGAGTATGACGCGCAACTAAAACAATCACCTTTTTGAATGGAGAGATTGTATTTGGGCTTGATGTTTTGGACTTTGAGAGGACTTAACGGGAAAGAGTGCGTGCTACAATTGAATGTCGACAGCAGGCTATTTTCCGTGCCGGGCTCACAATGAAACACTTTGAATCTGGGGCTTAACATGCAGCTCGGGAGCCAAGAGTTAGCGGAAAAATGCGGGAGGGGTTAGCCAAACAAAAACATGCCTGTTGCGTTGGGGCCAGCAGAGAGGATAATGTGAAGAACAGCCGTCAACCGGCCCCTGGCTCGAGAAATAGGCATGCCCAAAAGGACAATGTCAACTCTTATCAAAACAACTTTGCGGGAAAAAAAAGGATCCGAAACGTTCTACAACACACCACAAGTGCGCTTTTTGCCAAATAGTCGAGTATTTGGCAAAAAGCGCACTTGTGTGCCCGTCTAAAGTACTGATAACTTGTTACTAAAATAAAACCACAAATCACGTTAAATAGCAATGATGCAATCCAAGCCTAGAAGAAAATATGGTTAATCTTTAACGAGCCTATCTTTTTTAAATAAATCAGACATAGAAGGAAATCAGAATTAAAATTGGTTTCCTTTTACCTGTTTTGTGCTGCTGCGGCGCGTGCTTGGTAATAAGAACGGTTCTTCCACGAGCAGTGGCCACGGACACTGGAGTCCTTCCCTGGCCTGCTTTAACCCGAAATTCTAGTGACCCTTTGGAGTTTTACTGTCGACATTCCAGAAGTGCATGATGGGAAACGTAGTTTTATGTCACTAAGGAGAAAACCCATACAGGCAAAGTAAGAAAACAAACAAACATTGTAAAACAGGTCAATATGCCAACCTTGTTTTATATACATGCGTGAAAATTACAATTCGATCAAGGTGACAGCTGAATTTTCCAAGGGGTGTTGAGTTAATGCCCACCACGGGGCTTCGGTCAGAGTTATTCAAGAATGACATGTTATGTCATTTCGATGCTTGTTTGTGTAGCGCTCCACAGAGGGTGCAGTGAATAACAATAATTGGGGTCCTCGGCTGTCAGGTTGCCCAGACAAGTGCCTGAACTAAATGCGGGGTCCTAACCTGAGGAAGTTTAAACATGCCTGATCTAAAAAAAAAAAAAAAAAAAAACTAATTTCAAAACAAACGCAAACAAAATGCCTACGTTAGTTTTTAACAAGCGTTTAACAATGGCATGTGAAAAAAATGTTATTTTCAATTGCAGCAAGAAGCTCTTTGGGCAATGAACCAATATTTACATGCTGGGATTTATAAAATGGAATTGACTGGTTGGGCACTCCTGGTATCAAAAGAACCTGCCATACAAGATTAAACAGACTCCCATACTTTCACCCCAAATCAAATAAAGGTACTAGTTCTACACGAGTAAACATACATTTATTGTAGATGTAACTGTTGTCAGCAAATGCAACGGAAGTTGTTGAGGTTCCTAAGAAAAATCAGAATGTCCTGCTTCCAGTTGTGTTCATTTCCATAAAAGAAAGGGGAAAAAATTAAGAGCAGGGTCCAAATATAATGTTAACAACCTGATTTACTCAAAATTACGCTTGCATTGATCATCCCACTTGAAAACAAAAATAACCAAAAGCTCAGGTGCCCAAAGCTGCTCAATGAGCGGCACGCTGTCCATTTCACACACGACGCCCAAACCTCTCGTTTTGCCCATTTATACATTCGCACACAATCAGAAATGCAATCGAACACCTTCCGTGGAGAAACTGGATAACGCGTTGTTTTAAAAAATTCTAAACTAAATGTGCAGAAAGCACATAGAAATCACATCTCTGACTGTGCTGGATGAGCTGGTCCAGCTCGAATTAAATCTCCGTTACTGCTCTTCTCCATCAGACTCTCCCATCAATTCCACTCAGTTGGTGTTCTGTGTTCCCAAACAACAACAGTAGTGAACTTGGTCCGGGCAACAGTATTCCTTCTTGACTACGTTAGTCTGTTTCCATAGCGCCGCTGTGAGTCTCTTTGGACACCATCAGTCTCATCAGTTTCCCATGCAGCTTCTCGATCTTCTTCACGTCCTGAGCTTGGTCCGTCTTGTACTGTAAACACTGACCAGGGACACGCAGAGAGAAGACTTACATGACTAGTCTGACAGTCATTTGACAAATTCTGACAGTAATTCATGCCTTCGTCACATCCTCTCTCTCTCTCTATCTATATATATATATATATATATATATATATATATATATATATATATAAGTAGCACACTGATCGACTGGTTAGCACGTCCGCCTCACAGTGCAGAGGTGCAGGGTTCGATTCCTTCCTGTGTGGGGTTTGCATATTCTCGAATGCTACAAAATGAGTTTCGTGGGACTTTCTCCATTGCGAGACTAATAAAGGTTTTCTTATCTTATCTTATCTTATGTTCCAACTCTGAGATTGTAATTGTGACACCACACTTACCACGGAATCGTCAGTCACTTTAATACAAATTTTGCCGTCGCAGTGCCTGTACTTGATTACCACTCTGGCCTAAAAAAAAGAGGGAACAACAAACAAGCTCATTCAAAAAATAAATCAAGCATCTGTTTTCTCAAATGCTAACGCGATTCAAGGCTAAAATGCTATGTAACTCGGCTTGTGAAGCACACGTCAAGGAGATTTTTTTACCTTCATGGGGTCCGTCAGATACAATTTTTCGGCTGCGCGAGCAAACTCCTCCCAGGTCTGAAAGTAAGGCATTATGTTTTACGAGGTGAAAAGTGTATTATCTTTAAGAACTCGGATAAGACAGAGAGACAACCACGCTAACTTCAGAACACCACATCAGCAGCAACACCAACTCCACTAACCGGAAGAAGCTGTGACGTAAGAGTGATTCCGGGTTGCCCCTTCAAAACAAAAGAAAATTTTGGTTTGTGTTAACGAACCAAAAATGATACTGTAATACAACAAGAAAATATTATTCAACACAGACAACAGTGGTTCCCAACCTTTTTTTGTGTCACGTACCAGTGGAGACAAGTATATGCTGTTCGCGGACTGGCAACCTTTTTATTTCCCCATCGCTTTTAAAATGCCAGTTTTAAAGCACTGGTACTAACAACAAAGATAATTAGAGAGTAAATTTTAGAGTAATTAAACATTTTAGGAACAGATTTTTTTTGGATTCATTTCAAACAGTGTTATTCTACTGAACCACAAGTGGAGAATAAATTACAATCACACAGCGAACTATTAAGAAATGGACCAATCAGGAATAATAAATACAACTTATCGTGGAAGCATACTGTAATAATTTTAAAGTTATTATCCTACATACGGTGTTAGCATCACATTGCTACTTGCAAATGTGACTGATCAAAAGACGTCACGATTGATTGCTGCTTTCATCCAAAAAAAAAAAAAGGACTACAGTCCCCTCGTTCTGATTGGCTGTTGAAGGTGAGGGACAGGTAGTTTAGAAATATTTCCTGCTTGTGTGAGAACAGGTTTGTCCTGCGGCGACGGGCGAAGCACTTCCACAGAAAGGTGTGATCTTTCTCGTTCGTCATATCGAAATCTGTGGGCTTCATCCAACTTCTTAAACTTCAAATATCATTTGGATTTTTCTTGGAAGAGCGACCTGTCAGGTGTTCCGAGCACTAGTTTTGACCTTTGGACCGGTGAGCCCTTCATGTTGTTACGCTTCACTCCACCCGGATCGAAGGCACATAGAAGGTGGTAGACTTAACTGTGGTTTATGTGCCTGTGGAAGTGACATCGATTTTACATTTCATTACATTTTGGGCACTGCGTTGTGAGCACTTGTATAATGTAATGAGATTCAAAACCAAAAGAAAAATACTTGCTGTTTGCAGTGAAAATCTCAAGACTCTGCCTTTTGATTGACACTGTCAGAGAGGAATTGATGGGAAAAAAAAGTTGTTTTTATCGGGTTGGTAATTTGCAGTGGTCGCAAGAGAACCGCGATTTCTAATCATGTGTCCTGCCACGAGGCTAATAAATAATACATTGTTTGTTTGAACTTCTGTAGAGTCAACGGTTGCTTTAATATAAGCAGCAGCCACATGGACACTTGGAAAAGTAAGAAACAGACGTTGGACCAAAAACTCAGCCGTAATAACGGCGGTGTAGTGAAAATGAAGCGTCTTTTTTGTTTCACTGCTGCTTCCCTAGGCCTTTGCTCTCATCGGAGCGTTCCTATCGAGGTGGACGAGAGCACGCCGCCCTCCGACCTCGCCCTCGACTGGGCTTCTAATTGCCAGCGGTGCAGTGGACCGGGGAACAGTGGAAGCTGGGAGCCAAGTGGGGAAATGAGCATCCATACGAACCGGGACAGACTTCTTCAGCGTTATTTCCAGAGTGAACTGAAAACGACGAGTCCTCCTGCCTCCTCCCAGGGCGCCTGGGTTTGGCTTCCAAGACCAGGGGAGAGTTGCCGTTGTGATTTTATCGAACCTCAAAACGAGCTTCAGTGTTCGTTGGATGAGGGCGATGGCTTGGAGCCACCTCTCCCCCTTATGTCAGAACTCAACAGCACCCACGACATCCCATCGCACTACCCAGCAGAACATATTCAAGGCCAGTCCAAGTGCTCGGAAGACACAATGGATGTTCTGTCTGAATGTTTGTTTTGTTTTTTTTTTTTTTTTGGGGGGGGGGTGGGCTTGAAAAGTTCACTTTGGTTTTTAGCATCGATTCGTCTTTGCGACTGTGTGAATTTATCACTTGTCATTGCAGGCTTCCGTCCAAAGCAGGAGAGTTGCTGTCGACGCTGCGCGTGTCAATGTCAGAGGGCTGCACCCTTTGCACCGCCGTGGTATGGAGCATCACTCATTCCTGTCATACTTTCCTGCCGCTGTCATTTGTGAATGATTTTCTTCCGCAGGAACCATCCAGGAAACAAAATGCAACATGGCAACGCTCCAAATGCCACAAATGCCCTTCAAGCGCAAGCTGGGGCGGCTCCCGGGGATGTCATGTGCGAGGTCGGTTTCAATGACCCCCTTCGAGTAGATCGCGGACCAGGTACGAGGGAGACCAGGAGGACTGTCACGCTTCCTGATGAATATCGTAAGTGACACTTCAATGTTTTAGTTTCGGCTCCGACCCATCTCCCTTATGTGGCCGAATGGAAGTTCGCTCTTGACTTTGTGCATTTGTAGGGAACGTGTTCATCACATATTCAGTAGACACGGCGGAGGAAATGACTGCCCTCAGCAAATTCCTAACAAGTCAAGGCTTCAAACCCGCAGTAGGCTCCGATGTTCTTCCTCACCGTTCCTTCTCAAACGCTCGTCGCATACCTCCGTTTCTTCTTTATTTCTAGATTGACATTTTTGACAATCCAACCATCCGAATGGGCATCACCAGATGGATGGACAGATTTTTAAATGACGTAAGTATTGTATTAAAAAGAAAAGAAAAAAAGTCACCTCGGTCTGATGGCGGGAACGTTACAGAAATCCGTTCTCATCATTGTGGCAATCAGCCCCAAGTACAAGGAGGATGTCGAGGGGGATGCTGACGATGAGCACGGGCTACACACCAAGTACATCCACAATCGGGTGAGCTCTCACACAAGTGCCATCCCCGCGGCAACACGAGCACACATACGCGCAGCACACAAATACGCACGTGACAACTGTACTGTCGTTTTGAGTTGTCATCAAAACGTCAATCTTCATTTGCCATTGGTACAGATCCAGAATGAATTCATCCAACAAGGCTGCCTGAATTTCAGACTCATCCCAGTGTTGTTTTGCAATGCCACAAAGGTGAGTCAAACACAACCCTTTCCAAATAAACGCCGTTCTTGCTCATACCTCGTCGTTTCTTTCTCCCCTTGCTGTGTTTGTGGGACAGAAACATGTCCCCGGTTGGCTTCAGAACACAAGGATCTACAGGTGGCCTCAAGACACGCAGGACCTGCTCTTGCGCTTGCTGAGGGAGGAACGCTACATCGTTCCACAGCCAGAAGCATCCCTCACCCTCACAATTCGTCCACTCTGAAAGAAACGACAAATACTGTCACAGCGCGAAGACGCGCCAACAGCGTTCGAGAGGAAAGAACATTTCCAGCGGCCGTCTTCACTTCTCTTGGTCTTTTTGACTCATGATCGATTCTATCATCTTCGGAGCATGAGAGATTTCTGCACGGTCGTGTTTGAAATGAGAGCAGATGATTCCAATTTGAAGCGCATCAGGAACCGTACGAAGCCTGGAGTGTGATGCCGAGAAGATTGCTGTCGTTTGTTCATCCGCAGAACGTTCTCCGTGTCTTTCGTCTCGCTCATCATTCCTGACAGGTTTCCCCAGAAGGTGGCAGCACGTCTCAAATAATCAAAACCACTCGCAGCGGAGTGTAGCGTTTGTATTTTAGTTTGTCCATCCATCCATTTTCGACACCGCTTATCCTGAAAGGTTCGCGGGGGGCGGAAGGCAGACTACACCCTCAACTGGTCGCTAGTCGGTCGCAAGGCACATATGTAGACGAACAACCGTTCACACGTACATCCACACCGATTCCATTCTGCAAGTCAGGCAAGTGTACCACTACACCATTATTGACAATTAATTCGTGTAGTGTGATTTTCCAGTAGCACTATCTCAAACTAACCTCCTGCCCACTCATCTCGTTTATAACAAGTGGAAAACAGCTATTCATGTGTCATGAGCACAACAATGTACTTGCGAATAGAAACAAGAGGCCTAACCATGCGAAACGCCCGAATCACAATAAATCAGTATTGAAAAGTTCAACTTCAGCATGCTGAGCGGTCCAACCCCACCAGGCTGTTTCCTACACCTGACCAAAAATGGTGTGTTCTCTGAAGTACGAGTTAAGCTTCACACATTTTATCAGATCCTGCATGAGCCCACTTCCTGCCAACACCAGGCCTGCCAAGGCCCATCAATCTCATTTTTATTGTTCCACAAATACGGGCCACTCGTCTCTGCCTTATCTTCGGAGTCCAAAGCAGCCAGACACAGATGTGTTTTCACAAAGGGCTACAAAATATATTTCCCTAAAATAGCAATCTCTAAACCTTATTTCCAACCATTGTCCTTTAAGGATAACTCTTTTACCTTTGTTATAACAGTTCCAACTTTTGATAAGTGTGAATGACAACGACAGACTTAGAGTCACTGCCAGAGATGCTTTGAATCTCTCCATCACAAAATTATTTGCTGTAAAATAAAAAAATAACAATGGTCCGGTGAGGATGAAAGAAAAAACTTTCCTCTTATCAGACATACCATTTCACCCGTCCAACAACCTGAAAACTCCAGCATCGGTTCCATGCACAGTGAACATTTTACGTGTGTATTCTACATTCACTAGAGTAGATTTGACATGCCGTCAACTATATGCAAACTTTTACATCGCGAGGCTCGTACTGGGGCCATCCATCCCCACATTACCCTGAAAAGGGTGATGCCACACATCGGTACAAATGCAGATTTCTTTCTCGTCTGACTCCACAGATTTTTGGAATGCGTAAATATGAAATATATTAGTTTTGTTAAATACAATTAATATGGCTTAAAAATGACTAGCGACCACTCAAGGATGTACTGGGCTTTGTTTGCTACTACATAATGACCAGCAGCTACTGTACTATCGTGAAGCTAGTGCGACGTTAGTTGCTAAAAATGTATGCCAGTTGTAGTAGTCATGGTACGCAATTGTTAGTACAGTTGTACCTCGCTAGTAACGTATTGTTATTATGCAGACATATGCTGCTGTGCGGGGAAAAAAACGTCTCTGGGAAGAGTCGTCCGGTTTTTGTAGTGCGCTCAAGTCGTTTTACTGCCGTTGTGCATTAAATTGTCTTAGTAGCGAGCACAAATCGCGTCCTAGCAGGACATCAAATGAACGACAACATTCCAATATACTTTGTGTGAGAAGCTTTGTCAGACAACACCCCTTCAAAATAAAGGGTAACGTGTCTCGGTCTTTATGCCATCATAGAGCCTACGATCATTTTATTTTGAAAATAACCACAAGAAGTTGTATTCCGCTGCAATATCGCTTGTCACGCCGTAATCGGGCACCGTGGGTAGGCGCTTCATAAGGAAGTGTAGGCCAATGGAGGGGGCCGTCGGCTGTGGCTAGTTCCAACTCGTGATTTGGGAAAGACGCCGCATACCGGAAGGCCGGGAGAACGTCTTCCTGGCCGAAAACAAAAACACCATGTACTGTTAAAATATCACAGGACAGTCGCCGAGGAACATGGAGCCGACAGCGAGGGAGAGTCCGATTTGCTGTGGCCCCTCTGTCATAGCTGTATCTTAATTGTGGATTATTTGGACGCGTTGGCGCCGCGGAACCTTTTGTTCGTGTTTTTTTTTTTTTTTTTCGTGGAGACAACCGGGCTTTCCCTGCGCTTCGCCGTCGTTCTTCAGAAATGACAGCACCAGAGTCGGCTCTTCTCATCTCGTAGCCGAGCATTTGTCCACAAATGGACTCCTAGCAGTTGTTTTTTCCCTCCCCAGCTTTTGCTTGGTGTACAGCAGCCAAAGCAGTCATGTTTGCCGTACGCATCGTCAATGCAGACTACTACCTGGCAAGTCCCATTAAAGACCTGGACGTGTGTTATTCAGAGTTCAGGAAAAACGACGTGAAGAAGGTGCCGGTGGTGCGGATATTTGGAGCAACGCCCGCAGGTCGGTCGATGAATTGTCCGTCTTTTGTCAAACAAGCCACAGTGCTGCTGCATGAGCCGTACACCACGCGGCGCGAGACGTGGATAGTGCCAGGGCTGTGGGTTGCACGCGCCCCCCCCAATCCCCCCACGAGAACGCAAACAACTAAACGTAAGGCGGACTGTGGAACGACTACAGTATTCCACAGAGTCATGTCGGTGTCGACAATTTAGGTGCGTGGCGGTTGCACATTGTTGCAAATCGTGGAGCGCCGTTGCTATCCCGCGCATGCTTTCTGCCTGCAGCGGAGAGACCACCCCCCCCCCTTTCGGGCATTTTACGACGGTTGACAGTGATTTTTAATAGGACGTTTTCATTTCCATTGTATGTTGCTATGTGCGTGCTCAAAGGGGAAGCATACCTTGGAATTTCTCGATGTGTGTGTAAGTACATGTGTATACATGTACATGTATATGTATGCACGTATATCTGGAAAAAGGAGGGTTACGAAAACCAATTTCCATTGGTTTGGTTTTCAAAGATATAAATGAGTGCATCAAATCAAATCGAATGGAATCATTCCACTTTGAAATAAACCGTCCTTGAATCGTATCGCACCCCGTGCATGGAAATATGGATCGGCTTGTTTTTAATCGGAAAGATGGACGACCCCTAATATATTAGTCCATTACATCACTTACAGTATTGTCAAGTGAAAATGTGCTTACTGTATCTACAGTCGTTAGCGTAGGACTAAAAACAACGAGAGGATAATATAACCTAGATGAAATAACGTGTCCTTTACTTTCTGAAAATATAATACATTTATTTTTGGCTGAAGAGTGCCCAACAATACCAACATAGCGAAATATAACCCTCTCTCCCCCTTGCTGCTCAACAACAGTATATTTTCACGCATGATAGCGCCGCTTTATCCCAGATGAAATCATTTTCTGTCTGCCGCATCCTCTGTAACCCTTTTGAACAGGTGGTGACTCTGTATTTTGTTTGTCGTAGGAATCTGGTCAGAGCATAAACCTGTCTCGCAGTACGCATCCTCAAGAGAATGACCCGGCGGATTGGTCCCGCAAATAACCTTGCTTCAAATTATTGCTTCGATTACGAGCTTTATCACAATCGATGTATTCAGAAACTGTGCCCATTCGAATCGAATATGCGGTGACCGACTGGTTAATGAAGCCACGCAAAACTGTGTCGCCAACCCCATATTAAAAGACAAGCAATTGAATTATTTTAAAAGGAAAAAACAACAATCATGAAAGACATATTGAGCGCTATTGCTTTAAAAAAATGGAATGTTTGCGCTGAGCCCTTTACTACTGCTGAATAAGTTACTTTGGCTGGTAATAAGGACCTTTGCATTGAACTGTTCGGAAAGTCTGCAGTGGGGGGGGACGGGGGTGGGGGGGAGATACCGGAGCAAATATTGGCTAGCACCACAAAGTGCTACAGTTGTTGTCAAAGTCTGTTAGTTCCAGAATTGGCCGCATTTCCAGGGTGTGCCACTGTTGTCACAGATGTACGGAGCAGGCTCAAGAACGTGCCGATGTGGCGGCCATGTTGGCAGGGGCGACAGTCCCCAAAAAGTTAATGGAAAGCATGCACATTAGCTTCGCTTTGCCATTGGCATGCAGCTCAAAAGAAGCATGTCGCATCTATTTTCTTTTTGACGCTAAATACCCCCCTGCAGCAGGTGCTACGTTTTGGCTTATTGTCATCATGGCAACAACCGGAGTTGGATCCACACCAAATGACTCCGTGCCGATGTGTGTGGAGCCACAAATTGTTTACATACTGAGTTTTTCGCAGTAGATGTTGGATTTGTCATTTGGATAAAATCAGGGGCAGTTTATTGCTCATCTGCATGCCACTCTGATCCGGGCCCGACTCCCATTCCACAATGTGGCGCGATTCAAACGGACGCCAGTCTCTCATGAGAAGATTAAAGGCTTCCACTGATTAAACATACCGTCCAGCTGCACAAGTTTAAACATTCTCGCAGTTGTTTTGCTTTTTGGGACTCGGACTCATCAAGTTGTTACACTGTTGTAAGTGTGATCCCACATGAATGCATTGACTTTGTGTTTCTGTGCCGTATTTCTCCCATTTTCTTTTCAAAGGGCCCCGCAGGCGAGATTTTTAACACATAAACTCTTCCTTTTATGTCAGCTTTTATGTCATCTGTGCTCTCTGGCTTGTGCATCTGCTCTGCACCACGTGGCTTTGGCTGCAATCCCAGACCTCGTACTCGCTTGTCCTTCCATGACCTAAGCCGTGAACACTCCCACCAGTCAATCCGCTCTGTGTAATTCAATGCTCGCTTCCTGTTTTTTTTTTTGTTTGTTTTGGAACTAGCATCTCGCGTGTGGCCAGTCTGAGCACGCTGTGTCCGTACACACTTCTATCCGAAAAGAACAGCAAATTAAAATCGTAAAAATATCAGCCTTGGAGTTGGTGCGGATGCTGCCCCCGCCCCACGTCCATGTATTTTGGCTTCTCGAATCTCTCGGTCTTTTGCTTTTGTTCAGTTCCATATCTCCCACCAGTCAATCCGCTCTGTGTAATTCAATGCCCGCTTCCTGTTTTTTTTTTTTTTGTTTGTTTTGGAAATAGCATCTCGCGTGTGGCCAGTCTGAGCACGCTGTGTCCGTACGCACTTCTATCCGAAAAGAACAGCAAATTAAAATCGTAAATATCAGCCTTGGAGTTGGTGCGGATGCTACCCCCGCCCCACGTCCATGTATTTTGACTTCTCGAATCTCTCGGTCTTTTGCTTTTGTTCAGCTCCATAGACAAGCTCTCCAACTGGTGATAGCAGGAGGCGCCCTGTTTTGGTTGCTCAAACGTGCGAGAGGGAGAGGAAGTGAATGAGCAGCAGGGAGAGGAATGAAGTGGGGGGCCCCTTTGACCCCGGGGGAACCTTTAATGCCATCCAAAGGAGTTCC